TACATTTTTTAAGATAATGCAGCTAAGATACCACTGTTTCCAAGTGAATACATGGTTAACATTTTTCAACATACAATATGGCTTCCTCCACAGGCACAAACCATATGGGGCAGCAACAAGCACTGGCTGTGCAGAGATGACAACGAGAAGACTGCTCACACCTCATATCACTGTTTTTCTTTGATCGGTGAAATGCTTGGACTCTTCAACCTTTGCCTCAATGACATAAAAAGACGGGAGGCAAAAAGATTTGTATGACCTGCTCGTTATATAGAGGTGAGTGCTGGAAATAACTGGAAGTCATAATTAGGCCACTGCTGCCCCGATATAGAAAAATGTATTTGCACAGTCTTCAAACGGCCTGCTAACTCATATGTTCCAGTGGGGGGCATGGTCAGGGGAGTAGAGATAAAAGAACTACATGAAAGAAAATCTGTATTATTGCTTGATAGGTTTTAAAAGCTGTTGAATGAGGAACGGCCCCAATAGTTACGCTGGAAGGTACAAGATGGAGCTGCAGAGCAGCCGCAGTCAAATATTACAGAGGTTTAAGGGACTTTGCGTAAAGTAAAATTATACCTTTCTGAAGGTCTCTAAAGCGGTATTCAGAGGTGGTAAAAGGGCGGCCTAGGGCATGTTTCTGACTCCAACCCAGAGGAGAGGTTGAAAATAGTGTATGGAGCCACACTTTTGTCAACTGGGCTTGGTTTTATATTGTGCTGTGCCAAGCACTGCATGACTTGATTACCCTACCAACAAGTGCTTGCCCAATATCTACCTTTCCCTGTCCATTGATTAGCCATTGCCCCCAATGATTCCCTACCAAACAGTGCTTGCCCAATAACTAGCTTTCCCTGTCCACCATCCCCATTGATCACCCTACCAAACAGTGTTTGCCCAATGACTAGCATTCCCTGACCACCGTCCCCGTCGATTACCCTACCAGTGTTTGCCCAATGACTAGCGGTTGACAGGGGAAGCTGGTCATTGGGTAAAAACACTGTTTGGTAGGGTAATCAACGGGGACGGTGGTCAGGGAATGCTAGTCATTGGGCAAGCTCTGTTCGGTAGGGTAATCAATGGGGACGGTGGACAGGGAACGCTAGTCATTGGTAAAGCTCTGTTTGGTAGGGTAATCAGTGAGGACAGTGGACAGGTCCATGGGGACCACCATGCTGGGAAAGCATTCAAAGGTGAAGTAAAAGAGCATTTTGGATTTGCTTTGCACCCTGTGCCATTAAGAATACAGCTACTCAAACTCCAACACTGTGCAATGCAGCCTTAATGACATTTGGTGCGATATTCTATTTAAAGTGAGCTTGACAGCCATTTTAAACGTTAAAAAATTGAAGGTCCCATCTAAGAGTAAACATTACAAAGCCCCTGTAATTATTTATGTTAACCTTGATTTCACTTTGTAACTAAGATCTCAACTTTGGGCCTAAGTAAAAAGCATGCAATATGGATGTTCTTATTGCACTGAGGGTGTTAGGAGGGCCTCGTGTAGATCAGAAGTCAAGCCTGCAGTAACCAAAAGAAACCACGGCTCAAGCGGCATACAGACCAATACAGCGGCCAACAAAGGCATTTCAAACATCTGAGAGTTTACTTGGGAGTTGGTTAAGGCGCTCAATATCATCAATGCTACAGTACACGGTTTTGCAGTTGCATAATCCAAAAAGGGTTTATTACACTTTTTGGCATTAAAATGTTGTCGGTTTTAGGCCTCCAATCCATAAATTCAATACTAAATATTTACAATTTGTAACATACTATATACCTGGCATTAAAATCCATAAAATGTTGCAGTATTCTGACAATTGGGGAAGGTTCCCTATACAATTTGTAATTCAATTCTATCAGAGGTCAACATGTCTGTACTAAAAGGTATTCACCACCGCCTACAATAAAGAGCGCACAAAGCACTTGCTGGTCCTGCCACCTGGCTCCCTAAGAAATCCAGCTGAGCACAGGGAGAATTCAAGGTTAACCACTCTGCTTATGGGTCACCAAGGACGATATATAGAGCAGTTGGTCCTTTTAATCTGTCCCCAAACTGAGGTCACCAGGATGATCTGCAGGTGAAGACACTCAATGACTCTTCTGGCTCCGAGCCCGCCAATACTAAGAAACAGAGTATGTAAAATGAACACGACTTTCCACTGCCTACAATTCACCTGATAGGTACTCTAAATCAAGAATGGCCTTTTGAAGACACAACTCGAGTCCACCCAAAAATATTATTATCTTTGGAGGAACTTGGCTTTGCAAACATTTTGAAAGCAAGCGTTGCAGGAGACAGAGCCTGGGAAACTGGCAAGAGAACCATCTTTACTTAAAACTAATTCTTTGGATGAAGGACGTGGATCTTTATTGAATGAGGCAAACGGCAAATGTTCTGTATCGCATCAAATCTCATTATCCCGACTGCTCTGTGCTACCGGAAAACAGATCAACAGCACAATTTTGCTCTTTGCAATGAAATAAAGGCCTTCATGTAACAGGGAATACAGCAGGACATATAGAACTACTGTCAGTCCATAGAAGGAGAGCCCTACAGGTGCCATTAAAAGGGATTTCCAATTTAAAGTGGGATGCTGTCAAGACACCCTGTAGCAATATGGCTTTCCCTGCACACTCTTATTTTCCAAAGTTAGTTTTGTTAGAATCAGGTCTCTTTTTATTATATGTACAGCACAGAGAATGCAGTATAAGCAAAACTCCAAAGTGGGGTGGAGACCTGGGCATTCCTGAGGAATTTAGGAGGTGAGCCACCAAAAACTAAAATATTTTTGAGCAGACTGACAATTTCAAGGTGCCTGAATATCAGACAGACTACACTGTTTAAAGCAAAATTGCAGGCAAACCTTTAATCTCAAGATTCCAAATAAAAGCCCAATTATATGTTGTAGCATATTTATTACCTGCAAGCAATCTCCATGTGCAGAGTTCAATACCCCCCTGAAATCATAGTAATGGTACTGCCCTATCCGAATTGTGATTAAAAGGAAAAAATGGCTGCCAAAGTGCTGCTGTTTTAACCAGCGCTTCTGCCTCAGCCTGTGATTGGACAATGAAGGAGAAGCAGCACACAGAAGAGGATCCCCCTCTGCAAGCATGTTCAAACTGTTAAAAGTGACAGGGCTGTGTACGCAACTTAATAGTGCTGGTCCTTCCTCTCAGTCTACTGTGCAGAGGACTACAGGAGTCTTGTAGAAAGACAAAAGTATGCATCTATACTAGCTGTCATTAAAGTGACACTAAGTTCAGGAGTTAGAGAACTATGGGGTAACCTTTTGATCCCATAGTTTTTATTATGGTCATGGGGGGACATATCCTAACCTCCTCCTGTGACCCAAATCTCAGTATATAGCGGGCTATTGCCCGTTATATGCAGACAGCACCGCAGCCGGGACGGATCCCGACAATACTGTCGAGCTCCACCCAGCTGGCTGATTGACAGCGGGTTCTGCCTATCTAGAGCCAGCTTTACCCGCCCCCTTCCCCGTCCGTCCAGTCAGTGCTGTAGGATCGGAGAGGGGAATCCCTGTGGGGAGCAGTGACCAACAGTTACCGCTCTGCAGAGAGATGATGGCGGTATGTTTTTGCTCACTTCCCGATCAATAAGAGCCGACCTGTGACAGCTTTAGTGTTGCAGGTCGGCTCTAACTATGGTGATGCGTGTAATTCACTCACCCCATAGTTCTCCTTTAAATCTTAAAAATGCATTCAAGTACCGTAACTATTAACAAAAAAGCATCTTATATGTGTATCACTCGGCTGTAGATCCTCAAATCATCTCTGAATTGGTGCTGACAATGTCCTTCCTTCTGGAGGGGGCTACTTGTGTTCCCCATGGTCCCTGTGTGTGATGTAAAATAGTCACCGCTCCAAGCTCACTCCCGTGATGGACTACAATCTCAATACATATTAGTAAACTAAAAATGAGATTGTAGTCCATCACGGGAGTGAGCTTGGAACGGTGACTACTTTACAACACAAACAGGGACCATGGGGAACAAAAGTAGTCACCCTCCAGAAGGAAGGACAGTGTCAGCACCAATTCAGAGATGATTGGAGGATCTACAGCCGAGTGATACACAAAAAAGGTACAAGTTTTCTTAGTAGGTAAGGGATGCAATTTTAAGATTCAACTCCTGAGCTTTAATGCAGTTCACGGTTAATTGCTAAATGCATAACAAGATTGCACAGTATTTTTTTCTTTTGGAGTTCTGCTTTGAGACCTAATTTGTGAACAAAAAAGCCAGGCATATGGTGCAAGCAGCTTCCAACACTAACAGCTCCCTGTTTTGGTAACAAAAGGCTAGGGTGGTTTGTACAGGCACACAAGGATTGCTCGTACTGTGGTCCTGGCAGCCAGAAGTTAAGTTACGATGCTGAATGTTTTAATCAGTCACAATTTGGCTTCACTTGCTGAATCTCAGATCGTCTGTGACCAGTTCTGAGCCGCAAGACCAAGGTCAGTCAGAGACGGAACCGCATGACCTCACTAACAGCTGAATGAGATTCCTACTGCTGCTTACAAGGATCTGGAAGGGGGATCTTTCTGTGATACTAAATCGAAGGGGTCTGAGGCAGGGGTCCTCCTTTAAATTGACTCAGTCCTGGAGCAAAACACTTGTGTCATTGGACTCTACTAAAAGCAGCCAGTTTCTGACTCAACTGCTTCATGCATGCTAGTTCTGGGGCTGCAACTAACTCAGGTTTATCCTCAGTGCCCAAGAAACAGTAACAGGTAATGACTGCTTGCATCAAAGCTTGACCAAATATTTAGCTTAACTGCAAAGTCCCATTACAGGCGATCTCCTGCACACAACAGCAGCAGACACATTATGTGCCCTGACATAGCCGTCCTTCCACCAGCGAGTAGAGGATGGAAAGTGGCATAATGAGTCAGAAAATGGCTACCTCGATTATACACGGATATATCCCTGAACTAAAAACTCCTATAGCCAACAAGCGGGTTTGCGTTTGCTTGATGTGCCGAGGAAGAATCCTTATCAATGTTTATTTCTAATCATACAGTATAAATACTTATGCATATATTATTTTTTTTAATAAACAGAGCATTTAAATTAGCAATAATAAAGGGAAGAAGAACTGAAAAGTGCTTTCTACCACGGTGATTCTGGTATCGCAAGGGGAAAAGGAGGGGGCAGTAATCTAAAATAGGATTTGGCTGGCTGCTTAGGTCAAAAAACAAAAAAGTTACTAAGATGCTTATTAATGCATGGGGGTCATCAAATCATAAAAACTCCCGGACTCCTGGAAGAGAGCATGTGTAACCTCACAGGAAGGATTGTGCCAGAGGAAGAGGAGGGACGGGGACAAAAACAGGGAGGGCCCGACTTTACAGTAAATATTTGCGCCTTGAATCTTCGTCCAGAGTTAGGTCAACTACTTCTGGAGGGGCAGTCCAGTTCTGCTGGGGTGTCACTCCTGTCCATGATGGAGCTTGGTGGGAGCTGTTATACTGGGAGCCAGCGGCATGCTTCCATGAGGATACTCTCTGTATAACTCCGCCCCGGGGGTGGACAAACCTGGGGGAAAGAAAGAGAAAGTTCATCAAAAATAATCCAACATTTTGGGGGACACAAAAACAGGAATAAAGGGGAAATCTTCCAATGGGGAATTGTGCTCTATGACAACTAAGAGGAGATTCCTTGATTTTGGAAGCAATTCCTATGATTTGTTATTGTTGCAACAAGACAGGAACAGAAGGTCCTTTTCCCACAATGGGGAGAAACTCTCCTAAAAATAAGAATAATGAAAGGTGTGCCCTCGGTGCATAAGAGATGTAATGTCCACCTTCCCTGATGTATTGCTCAGAAAAAGATTCACAAATAGACATTTCCAGGAGTGTTGATCATCTGGTTCCCCACACTGGAAAGGACACAGTAGTGATGTAAGGGTTAGCGGTAGGGATGCACCGATACTAGTATCGATATTGGTGCCGATACCGAGTATTTGCCCAAATGCTCCGATGCCTAGCCTGATACTTCCTGTATCAGGAAGCCAGGCAGTGCGTCATTATACGCTGCCCGGATCCTGATTCACTGGGAAGCGGCTCCATGCTCTCTCATCACTTGTGATGAGAGAGCACGGAGCTGAGTTCCCGGCCAATCAGGAAGCAGGGCAGCGTGTAATGACGCGCTGCCCGGCTTCCTGATTGGTCGGGAAGCTGGCGAATCAGGAAGCCGGGCGCAGTGTAATGATGCAGCGCCGGCATTCTGATTGGCCGGGAAGCCGACTTCATGCTCCCTCGTCATCTCCAGCTGGGTACCGGAGGAAGGCCGCGTTCTGGCTGGGGAGGCTCAGGGGGTGACAGGCTGGACATGCCTAGGTGAGAGGGGACAGACTTTCTTGTTAATCGGGAAGCCAGTTGGCAAGTCATTACACACTGCCCGGCTTCCCGGCTAATCAGAAAGCCAGGTGGTGAGTCATTACACGCCACCTGGCTTCCTGAATGGGACTTCCGTTACTCGTTAATTGGTATCGGCGAGTACCGAAAATAAATTATCGGTACTCGTAGTCGATACCAAAATACCGGTATAGGTGCATCCCTAGTTAGCGGAGAAGGGCCGCCAATATGGGGGTACAGACAGTACTCCAGCACCAGACACAAGTCCCATCAGGGTAGCAAAAGCTGCCTGTGGGTGTCTTCCCTGCTACCGACTTCTGCAAGTCACTAGTACAGCCAGTCTTAGAAGATCTGCGTTACTGATCATACTTGTAAGCAGACTGCGGGGACTCAGAAAAGCAGATTGGGGCAATGGTGAGGATGAAGAGGTCAGCTTGACATCACTCACACAATTGTCACTTATCTTCGCTGGGCTACCATTAGAAATCACGGAGCCCCAGGGTTCCTAGCTGTATGTGGCCCATGTGGGTACTTCCACTCAGGCCCGCCATTAGAAATCATGTGGCCCCATACAGTGCATCTGTATGTTGCTCCGTACAGCCTCCCCAATAAGGTAGGCTGTATGGGGCCACATGTATTCGAATGCCAGTCGAGTGGGATGAACCACGAGGACAACACTCCTGGAATTTAAGTTTGTGAATGGACAGCAGCAGATCAACACATGTAACATTGCCACGTGTTACTGCAATGCAATGGTGTGACTCGGGCCTCATTTTAGTAACCGAGGTGCATTAATATGAATAAAAATACAAAAGAGAAAGCATGTAAAAACATAAACATAAGTAAATAATTAAACCTTAGCTGAAAATAAGAACTCACTGAAACTACACTGAACTTTCCCTTTAATGTTTTTATCCTGTTTTGTCCTGCAGAGAATGATTTACACTTTGATCTGTCAATACCCCATGAGCTCTCCATTGGGATAAAACCCCAATACCACCTACGGTTCAGAATCTAAGATAAATTAGAAGATAAAGGACACCTTTCTTGTGGATAGAAGAAACTGTCTATTCATACGTCTGTAAAGAAACAAATCAAGGCAACTGGACTTGCTGTATTTTTCTTCAAGACGTTTCACTGGTCATCCAACTGGCTTTCCCAATTCCGTTGAGAAAGTTAGTCAGATGACCAGTGAAACGTCTTGAAGAAAAATACAGCAAGTCCAGTTGCCTTGATTTGTTTCTTTACAGATATACCATGACCTGGAGGAATGAGAACCTTCACAGACATACGCTTTTTTGATTCATAGGCCCAAAATCAACAGATAACATATAACACAAGAAAGCTTCACACACAGATCAATAACAATGCTCTTTATTGCAGCGGTTGTCACCGATGTACCTTGCATTTTCTTGAACCCCGACTATCTCCACCTCGCTGCCTGAAGATGCAATGTTTATCTCGTCTTCGTTATTCTGTGACTCGCCAGAGGGTAATTTATCACATGAAGACAGTCCTGGATCCAAATGACCTGCAGAGATAAACAAGACACAGAGGCAAAACATTATCTTCAGAGGACTAATGTTCAATGATCTATATTGCAGTATGGAGATCCTGGAGGCCTGACACAGGTACGGAGATTTAGACAGGTGCAGGGATAGATAGTACAAACGAATAGAGTGTGTTGAGACATTTAGAGTCAGCTTGTTGCTCCTTTTGTGAATTTTCTGCATCTAGTGGTCCTGAGAAGCACTGTATCTGAGTGAAGCAGGATGGGTGCATCTAAATATGATTCTATGCTCTGCTCTATATGTCCTGTAAAAAAAATGGTAAAGGTCATCAAAGGGAATACGAGACATTAGTTTAGGGCAGTGGTTCTCAACCTGTGTAACCTCAGGACCCACATTTGTCCTCGATCATTAAGTCGTGACCCAAGTTGCACTGCAATGGAACGCATGGCAGTGTGGGCTGCTGTGCTGTGATGGAGTGCCATCCATATATGCATTGCTTGTACAGCTCCCGTGCGCACCCTGTGGAGGTGCCGGGAGCCAGAATGTGATGTCATTCTGGTCCAGGCACCTCTACAAGACATGTAAGGGAGCTATAAGCACTGCATATATGGATGGAGCTCCCTCGCGGCCATACCCCCAGCCGACCCCACCCCAAGTCAACACTTGGAGCCGGGCAGCATATTTTGAATGGCTGCTCAGTGTAAGAATGGACAGTACTGTGCTGGGGGAGGCTGCAGAGCCTCTCACCTAGAAAAGTGGAAGGCATGTGGTGACCCACTGAACACGGAGTCGCGACCCACTTTTGGGTCACGACCCACCAGTTGAGAACCAAGGGTTTAGGGATACTGTCCCAAATCTTGGCATGTACCTCAATGTCGGGGTATTTAATGACAAATGCTCTCCACTCACAGACTAATCAGTAATGGATGCAGAGAATGGCCTGGCCTATTTGTTGTTTAGATCCAAAATGCTTTTAATTGTAAAGCTCTTCAGACATTTTTCAAGAACATGTTATTACCAAGAGCTTTGTTAAAAGTTATATTCACTATCCCGAAAGAAAGCTTGGTGTGTATTTGGAGAGAGCAGTGCCTCGGTGTAGGACCCCTCATGGAGGGATAGGAAGTCTTCTGCCAGCTCTGATGAGGAACCTTAGTGTTGGCTTCCTTCTAGTGGGCGATATGATGAATTATGAGATGGGTGGCAGCAGAAATTTTATTAAAACAGACTGATATTTTTTAAAATATTGGTTGTTGTAAGGAACGCATGAGCTATACTTTTATCTCTAGTGGACCGTTAGTTGATTGTCTACACTGGTCTCCTGTAAGCAGATGAGAAACCGGGGAGTTTTCTGTCTATATCTATGGCTAGCAAGCAGTAGATATATGCAAAAAGTTTTTTTAAAAACCTGCTTTAAACAGCGGTTTAAACTTACCCCGTATTCGCCGCGCGCTCCCGCCCGAGAATCCGAAACTGCTTGGCCTGCCGCAAAGCATCCTGGGGCGGGCGCATGCGCAGTTCGGATTTTCGGCCGGGAGACGAGCAGAGACGCAAGGTAACTCTATGGGCGCGTGCACCCGCATGCAGACACCGCGGCATCGGAAGTGCCAGCAAGCAGAGAGGAGTCAGCGATGGATCGGAGAGCCGCCGCACCGCTGGAGGGATAGATGAAAACATCAGGAAAGAAGATCGGATCAAGAGACATCATTTAAGTTAAGTGCTGACATTAACATTGGGGGGAGGGAAATATTTTTTTGACTTTAATGTCACTTTAATGGTCTCAGGGCTTGTTCACACCAAGGTGTACGTTTAATAAACCGTGATAAAACTAGCTTTATCACAAGTTAACTTTACTCAGCAGATCAATTTGTTTTTCTCGGCTGCATAGAGGCTGTTTAACCCCTTCGTGACTGACGACGTACAGTGTAAGCCCCCCCATGTGATAGCACTCAAAGTAAAAAAAAAACAGTTTTTTAAATAAAATAAATCTAATAATAATTAAAAATAAGTCCCCCGCGCGTCGCCACGTAAACACGCGTCGGGTGCGCCTACGTATGAAAACGACGAACGCGCTACACGTTTGGTATCGCCGCGCACGCCGAAGTGAGAGCAATAATTTTAGGGCCAGTATTTTGGGGTATCTCTAAATTGATGACCTGTGGGGGCTTTTAAAGCGTCTTCTATGGACTTTTTGGGGTACTGCAGTTTTTCGCCGTTTCACGGACGCACGCAATTTGTAACCTGGGCATGTTGGGTATCGTTTTACTCGTTGTAACCTCATCTTTTATATTTCATTAAAAAATGGGTATTTTGTTGTGTTTTGGGGCATTTAATTACATTTTTCACTAAATGTTGGGGTTTAATGAGTTGCGCTAATATTGCGCAACATAAAAATGTGCAACTACCACCATTTTATTCTATAGGGTCTTGGCATTCAGAAAATATATAATGTTGGGGGGTTTTAAGTCATTTTCAGGCCTAAAATGTGGACTATAACATGGGTGCAAAAAATGAAAAAAAGGGCCTCAGTCATGAAGGGGTTAATAGCCTGCAAAAAGAAAACTCATCACACGAAACAGCTGTGAAAGGCTGAGATAAGTCGTCACGGTGATCAGTCGAGAAAGCAATGCGGGGAATGTATTCTGAGCTGCACAATGACATCCTTTGTGATAATCTACAATCCTCCTGACAGGATCGTAGTTTACTCTGCCAAACCACCCGATAACAATATTACAAAGCACCGCTATAGCAAAGTGCAACACTTATTTCTCGGTTAAAATGATGAAAATTGCTAAAAAGCAGAATTTACATGTTCCGATTTGTTCAGCATGTACTAGTACAAAAGCATGAAGCAAACTACCAAACACACCGAAAAGGTGCTCTGCACTCCATTTGCTAATGAAATGAAATCCCAGTGTAATTAACCACTTGATGTCCGCGGTGTTACACCCCCTTCCCATCCAGGCCATGTTTCAGTATTCAGCGCTGCGGCACTTTGACTGACATTTATTGCGTCATGCAACGCTGTACTGAAATTAATTTGATACCATTTTTGGGGACAGATAGAGCTTTCTTCTGGTGGTATTTAATCACCACTGGGGTTTTTTTATTCTTTTACTATATTAAGGAAAAATTCCCTGAATTTTTTTTAATAAATAAACTGTCTCCCCTATATTAAATGCTAAAACATTTATTATTACCCAATAATTGGGTCGAATATAAAAGACGGGGTCACGTTGAGTAAAAAGTCAACAAACATGTCAAGCTTTAAAATTGCGCGCGCGCGCGAAACCTCCATAAACTCTAATACCCCAAATTGGCCATAGGCGACGCTTTCAAAGCTTTTACCGCTCATCAGTTTAGTGTTATCAGTGATTGATTGCCCTAAAACTATTGCTCTCACTGCGCCGTTTGCGGCGATATGTTACGCGTGTAGCGCAATTGTCGTTTTTACGCGCTGGTGCACCGGACGCGTATTTACGTTTATATGTGCGTAAACGTGGTGGTGGGGGACTTAAGAATTGTTTGGGGTTTTTTTTAAAAACTTTTTTGATATGTTACTTTTTTTCTCTAAATCTTTTTATGTGTTTTTACACTATAATGTCATTGCTATTACATAGGGGGATAATGATCCCCCTGTATAATAGCAAAGGCACACTGACAGGGCCTCTTTATTGAGACATTAGGGGTCTCTAGAACCCCTAATCTCACCTGGGGACCCCAAAATAAGCTGATGAAGTAGAGATCTGCTTCATCAGCTTCTTCTCTCTGGCAATAGCAGCCAGATGAATGCGGAAATTATGTATTTACACATCACTTCCGCATGCACAGCACGGAGGATGATTCCGCATTCACAGATCTCTTCTTGCCAGGGGCTCGAGATCCTCAGCAATAAGGTTGTAAAAGCTCCATGATCCCCTGACGGTTCAGTCTAAACATGTCCTCCACGTCGTGATCTGAAAGCTCATCCAGGACCGTGCGGGTCCTGTACACACGAGGTTTCCTGAAGCGACCATTCCCAATCCCTTACTGGGTTACATGCACTGCAGCTGCTGCCAAATCCAAATCTACCTTAGCAAACATAGTGAAGGAGTTGTGCTTCTTTTTCCTGGTCTGTCCCAGTTTGTAGAAGGTGGGAACAAACCCGGGAACTAAATCAGAGGTATACTGTCCATGCAATAGTCAAAAGAGACATGACTCCAACGAGACACCACCATTACATCATTTTGGGTCACTAAATCCATTTGGGGCCCCCATAATTCAGTAGACTAACGTCAGTACTTTAGCCCAACAGTCTTTATAACCTGCATATTCCTGATAAGAGGAAATTTGCAAGTCCGGGTTACAAACAAAGCCGGAGATATAACTGCATCTAGCATTTATTGGTACTTGGGAACAATTAGGTGCCCTGCAAGCAACTATGCTGGCAGGAGGAGAGGGCACAGAGATGACCTTATCAGTCTGTTGCTAATCCTTCACGGTCCAATTACATGCTGGGGACAGGGAGGTGACCAAGCGGTGTTGCTTAACTGCAACGGAGAAATGTTAACCACGAGACTGGCTGTTGTCTGTGGCAGAGCTGTGCAAATCTCAGGACTGGATGTTGGGCTGCATTTAAGGATTATTTTCATAATCGATTAGTTGGCGGATTATTTTTTTGATTATTCGTATAAAAAAAAAAAAATCTTTTATTTCAAATAAAATATAATTTTTTTGCAATCACACGGCATTGCAGTACCGCACGTTCCAGTGTAGGTGATCACACAGCAGGCGGGATTGGTGTTTGGGATGCTATTGAAATGAATGGCACAACGCACATTCTGGAGCAGAACTTTAAGGCTGAAACCAAAAATCACGCGTATATATATATACACACACACACACATAT